CCTGAAAAAATGTGCTAACTACAGTCTTACCAGAAATAAAATGGCGGCGTACATGTTGAGGTATTTGAGATAGAAGCAGAGCAAGCAAAGGCTTTGTCCAAATGGCCACGTGTGGGTGAAGTAATAATAAATTCTGAGGGGGAGGGAGAGGATGTGCACCAGGTCTGCCAAAGCCAGGTTTATCATGAAGATCACTGCCTTGGTCTTCTTGCTGTTGAAACAATAAGCAGAAAAGTGGGTTTGCTCCTGCAGAACCATACAACACTGTGCAAGACTTCCCCTTTGCTTTAACACATCCAAATATAATCTTTGAATAGGACATTAAGCAATGTTATATAAAGATGAAGCAAATATTCTCTTTCAACTTGTCTTAAATATCTGAATCCCCAGTAATCTTTTAAACCTTTGGTATTTTCTGACTGACCTGAAATGTTTGCAGAGGACCCAGAGAGCCGTGGTGTTGAGAAGCAGCCCCGGGATGAAGAGCAGCAGGTAGAAGTAGGTGTACATGGTGTCCATAGATTGATCCCAGCTGGTTAAATTATAGTCACACGACGGGGAAGAGAGGTTGGCTGAGAGCCGGTCTGCTGATTGACTGCTGCTTACAGTCATTATGCTGTTCTAATAAAAACACTCTGGGAAAGCAGACTATTTCACTTCATGTTGCTACTCATCACAACTGAAAAAAGAGAAAACAGAAGTGTCAAAGCCCTAAGTCTAAATAAATGAACACTGTTAATTATTGAGCAAACTTTAAAAGCTCACTAAATGTGAAGCTTTCATTTTAACCAATAACAAACAAACTTAATATAACCTCAGGCACATTTTGTCGTTGGTAGTGAAAGTGCAATCCTGTGAAACCAAATAGGGCCGTTACCAGAAATAAAGCGCACATCAACACGTGTACTTTCACTTTCCTAGTGAGCAGGTGTGAGTTGCTCCGTTAACAGGAACACATCCTGCCAGCAGAACATCTGCTTCAAAACCGGTTCCTCTACATCCGTTAAAGAAGGCAGATTTCTTTTTCTTTCTTTTTTATTTGCCAAACTCAGACATTTGTGCCCATAAAGCTTTTTAACATGGAGTCCTGCACTGTGTAGAAAGGTTAGCCTGCAGCATTATTTTTTAAAGACATTTAAAAACAGAACTAAAAACAATCTAACATCAGAGATATGAGGAACTTTAGAAAATATACACTAGAAACAATATTTCATTGCTGGGCGTTTAGGTTCAGCTTTAGGTTCAAAACATTTAGGCCGTACAAAAGATAATTATCTCCTCAGTTTACTGATATTAGGAAAACAATCTTTTGTATTTTAACTGCCTTTACGAGGCTGTGGAAGGAACAGGCCCACAGCATCACTCCTCCTCTACTGAATGAGGTACATTTCCACACAATCTTCCAGTGTTTCAAACCGAACTGAAGTGGCACAATTATCAAGAGATGAACACAGTTGCAATGACACAGCAGTTGCGATATATTTTCTATTCATTTCTACTTCAACTTTAAGTGATCATTTAAGCCCTAAATTTTAGGGCCTCGCGGAAACTAGAGTGTTTTTTTGTTTTTTATAATTCTATTTAAAAATCATACTTTATAAAAAAAAAAAAAGACTGGCCTTGGGATCAGATTGACACACAGAGGAGGAAGGATGAGGGACAACTCTAAGACAAACGTTCTTTAGAGATACATTTTTGTATTATATTATATTTTATTAATCTTTTGTACAATTTAATATATTATTTTCACTGGTTTATTTAACCTTTATTTATCCAGGTGTTTGTGAGCCACTTCTTATTCACAAATATGACCTCAAGTCATTTTATTTGTTGCACTAAGGTTGTTTTTGCACATTGCTGTTGAAACAAAAACTTATGAACAGCTTTACTCTAAATAAGCTACATACTAGTTTGTTTGATTAAATTTAGTAACACTAGATGATTCATACAAATATAGACAGTAAAACAGCAATACCAACTATGTGCATCTATAACAGCAATACTCAGGTGTTGCTTTCTTTTAGTATTAAACATTTATACTGTCTTTTTATTCTGTTGTTTACCCCCCAGTTACTTAAGACTAGGTTGTCTAAACAGTCCATAGGAGTGGTTGCCCTGATAAACTAGATAAAAACCAACTGTCACTCAGCTGGAGGATCCGCTGAAGCTTTGCTGACCCGTCAATGCATTTAGCAAACTGTGTCAGCAATTATAACCTGGTTAGAACGGAGCGTTGCATCAAAGTGTTGACATTGAATCAAGCAGATGAAACTTTGATAAAAACTGCAGCAGGAAATCTAATTGTAATAGCTTGATGTTTTGTTTTTTTATAGATTATCAGCCGCATCATCCTTCCTTCTGCCATCAACATGGCTCCACACCCTTCCTATGCTGCTTCCACAAGAGGAAGAGAAAAATAATGACAGTTATTTTCTTTTGGTTTCTTTCCTGCAACTTGAACTGGTTTTTAACGTTTTTCGTGTTGGTTTCAGGTTTAACATCTATCTGAGATCCATTAACAGATCTGCTTCTTAGAAAATGTAGGGTTCATTTCATCACTTTAACTTTTCCTGGTAAAGTAAGATTTTGTAAAAAACACAGTAAAGATGACATCCTTTAACCATATTATGGTTTAACTCTAAGAACAGAAAGACATAACCATCAACATAATTCAAAACATGCCAAACCACAAACAGATGCCCAAACTTCCTCGCAGATTATTATTATCATTATTATTTATAGAAAACGTGAATCTTTACCTTTTGTAGGTTTGCCTTCTCCTTAAATCATAAGTGGGAACTGAAGGGAGTCGAGAACATAGGAGTGAGCGGGTCCACATGCTCCAGCATCTTCATACAGCAATGCTCCTTGAGCTGCACAGTAGCAATCACCAACGCTTCCCCTCCTTCCTCTTACATGTGTGTTTGACACCAGACAAAGCAATGTGTCCGTTGGGCCAGTAAAGGCAGCAAATCCCTCTAACTGATGTGGTTTGTCTTCGTAAGTGCTAGAGGAGATGCATCTGCTTTCAGAGGCGAAATGTGAAGGGGAAGGGGAAGCTCTGCCCTGTATGTCTGGCGTGGTATTTTTTTTAACTGTTTGAGACGTCAATAACTCCCTAGCAACTGAGCAAATAACCAAGCCTCATGCACGTGTGGTTAGGAAACAGCAAAGTCAAACTGATCACTGCAAAACACAGTTTGTATAACTGTCAAGATCCCTTCAGCAAGTTTCTGAGCAGATCTACTACTTTAGTCTTTCTCCTTACAAACCGTATGCAGACTTTGCTGAGTTGTAAAACAACATAAATGTTGACTCTAGATTATTGCATCATTAAAATGATGTTCATTGGCTTCCTCTGTTCGCTCACCACTTCCTTTTTTTGAAAAAGCTTAACAAATAATCAAATGCTCTAAGCAGTTATATTCGTTACAGTGTGGCACTCAGACAGAAGATAAAGGTTCGTCTGTAACAGCGTGAATCTCTGTGGCTTTTTCAATGCACTAATTTAGGTTGCTAATATTTATTTTAATAATTTCAATTACCAGAAAAAGTCCTGTTGAGATTTTTCCTTTTTTAGGAAGTTCTTATGATGTGTGGATCAAGAATTGCACAAATTTAGAGAAGCAAACCAACGTCTGACATCTGATATGCTGCTTTTCCAACTTAGATTGTTGTTCAGGAGCTTTGAAAGGAAACTCATGGATTCTGCATTCTAGCCACTAGATGTCACCCTAGGCTGCCACAAAGTCACTGCTCCTTTAGCAAGAAATACTTGGAGAGCAAGCAGCTGATCGCTTTCAGCCAAACAATTTAATTCCTAACATCAACATTAGTTTTCCTGTATGCTTCATTATTCCTTTCCCTTTTATTTCCCGTCCTTCTACCCATTCCTGTGCTGTCACCTTTGACCCTGGATCCCACAAAGCATTTGCTTTTATGTTTCTCTCTGGTTGAAACATCACATTATGTTGGTATAAATAGATAATTTCACCCATTTAATTATCATACCACTGCGAAATATATTCCTGAATGAAGGATTAACAAAAAGGCTGCAAACAGGCAACTCTGAGTGGACAGCTGCATGTTTTCCTCCAAAACAATAAGTCCTGCTGAAGGATTAGTGCTTAGAAAGCTGGCAAATAAGCAGATCTACATCACTACAATCAACACTTTACTTTGTACCCCGGGTTTATTGATACAATGAAGAACTTTTATTAGAGACCAAAAGCTCCTAACAAACATTTATAATAGACCTCTCCTATGTCAGCATCTCATATTTCAGTGATAAAACTAAACCCTCATTTAAGCTTCAGACTTTCAAAAGGCTGAACTTGATCAGATTTACCACTGCAGTAGCTTGAAAAAATATTTCACTTAAACTTTCTTGTCTTTATTTTTGTTTGTTTAAAAAAATGCTGTTAGAAATTGTAATTTAATATATTCAGACATCATGACTCGCTAAAAGTAAGGAGAGGTTTGCAAAACGTTACCGTTTGCATTTCCATAACCTTTTCAAAATGAAAACAGTCTTAATAATAATCATTTCTTTCAAAAGATGACTTTTTGTATTTAGGTCTAGACTTTGACTAGGCCACTTCCACTAACCTTCCACTTTATTGTCTCTTACTTCATGTTCGGAGTTCTCCTGTAGGATGGTGAGCATCTTCTAGCAGGTTCTATTCTCTACCTATTTTAATTCATTCTCTATTGGGTCTAACAAATATCTATGATCTATCATTACATCCAGAACATGGTACTGCCACCACCATGAACAACAGAATTTTTCCATCACCAAAAAAACAGCTTATTTATTAAAAAAAAGACTCATATAAGCTACAGCTAAATGTATCAATGTTATTATTTATTTATGTTTTGGAGTTTTTACAGCACTAGTGGCTCATTTTAATGGACAGTATGCTGACAGTGTGAGGGATTGTATTTGAGTCAATGAGTCNTGAATTGAATTGACAGGAAAGGGGGTATGAGAGGGGGGGAGAGACATACGGGGAAGGACCACAGGCCAGATTCGAACCACACGTCGAGGACTAGGCCTCCATACGTCGGTCGTGTGCGCTAACCACTGCGCAACTGTTGTTCTATGAAACCATTTGTTTCAAAGTTAAGACTTGTTAAAAACAAAACCGCACCGGCGGCACCAGGCTACCAGAGTACCAGCCCAGTATACTGTATATAAACCTGCATGGTACTGTAATAAAATTCAGTAAATGCGGAAGCTGTCCATTTCATTTCAGTTTTCACCATTGAAAAACCACAGAAATGTCATTTAGGTGATATTTTGCATAAAAAATAAGTGAAATAGTGTTAAAGTCAGATATAGTAATCAACCGTTATAGTGTTCAAACTGGCTTTGGACCAATGTGATCACTATAAGCAGATTCCACTGTAATTTGATACGATTACTTTTGACTCTATCCAAAGACTTCAATTAAAGCTTCTGCTGTTTCTAGCTCCTTTTCCTTCACCTTTTCAAGGGTCAACAGTAAGAACACTATCCGGGGTAAAAAAGGAACTGCTGTGTTCAATCTGGACAGCTTCAGTTTTATGGAGGTTATTGGGTGACAAAGGCTGAAGCTCTCCTATTATAAGAGGTGAACATGTTCATCTTAGCATGTGTCACACAAAGTAAACGTTATAAATATGTATGCAGTGGGCAGTGACTAAATGTTCTGTTAGAATTGTGGGAAACTATATTTAGGTCAGGAGGTCCTATGCTAACCGAATCAGTGCTAGGATGCAGACTGCTTCCCCGTCCTAGATCCTTCCGTACTGCTAGCACTATTCAGATTACACTTGGGCCGTCCGCTTACTTTCGCCGTGGCTTAAGTGTCCTTACCAATTTGAGGCATTTGGATTTAAACTAGAAGTAGATATTTGCAAGGCTATGTTCACACTGCAGGCCTTGATGATCAATTCAGAGTTTTTATGAAATCCGATTCTTTTTCGTGTTTGTTCACATTTTCAAATATATGCAACTTTTATGTGATCTCCTGTGTGAATGCACATAACTTTAGTATTCCACATGTGCAGTAGAGGACGCAATGACGTCACAAGTAGTGAGCATGCTCTGTGTTTATGCAAGTGAACGTGGTTTCCTGTACTTGTTTATTCTTTAATTGAAATAAAGATTTGAAAGACAAAAGTAAACATGGGTGGTGGTGCAGAACAGCATTTGCGATTTTTCGTTTCTTTCTCAACCTCGGCCAGCGCATCAATAACACAGTCTTTTCAAGAAGGTTGAAAATAAAGACTGCTCTCCGCATCATCGTCCTCCATGGTTATTTTTCTTTCTGCTTCTGCATAGAAAGACGCAGAATCATGACTTTGTTGAGAATTAACGGCATTGAGGTCAGTTGAATGTGACCTGGCCATTCAGACGCAGGTCGTATTTGAAGAGATCAAATTCGTATCGGATTCAGAACCACAGAGCCCAGTGGGTCGCATTGGATCTGTGTTGTTCAGACTGTCCTGAAAAGATCAGATCCAGATCACATATAAACAAAGTGACTTCAGGAGGCTGTATGAACAAAGTCTAATTGTTACCAAGTAAATATTAACTTATTAATACTAATCTAATAAATAGCTATTTTGTTCCATGGTATGATTTTTTTTAATTCTAGGTTAACTGAAAAAATGGCTTCAGATCAGAATCACAAATTTAAAATTGTCAAAACATAGAAATATAATTTGACCAAAATACAGTTCATTTCTTTCAGCGTGTACAAATAAAGTCACTTTTTGGTTTCATCGCTTATCCTTCCATATGTTTACTGGGTCTAAATGGCTTGTAGCAAAAAGCTAATCTCATGTTTATGCTTTTTTCTACAACAATTGCTTTCTTCCTGCTACTCTTACATAAACAGCAGATTTATGAGGAACATGACTAACAGTAGTGGCCAAAACTTAAGCTTTTCTTTTGGTTTATATCTTTAAAAACGTACACCCTAACTTTATCCCTGATCTAAACTATGTTAATTGATCATTCTGATCTTCTTATAGAATGCAATGAAATTCTAGGTTAAAATGTGAATGTCTGCAGCAGCTTGTTTGTTCCTGAAGATGCTATGAAGCCAGAATAAAAAGCTTCTCTCTCCATCATTCTGAAGAAGAGAAGATTACCAATCAAAGTGTTTAAATTCAACACTTTATATCCTCCTGGTAATGCACAAAAGTTTAGCAATTAATATTGTGCAAGATGGCAGTTTTGGGGTAAACAGGCAAAAGTTTCATCCATACTTTGGAATGTGAGCATATTTGCTGCCTGTAAAAGACTTTGAGTAGATCTGCAGTCTAAAGCCAGATTAGGGTAAAGAGACCTCATTCACAAGCAAACAATGGACCATTGCTCAAGTCATAATAAGCATTTGCCCTGTGACACAGCACACAAGCCAATTTCCTTCAAAAAATAAGATCGTCTGCTCTGCTGGCCACTTGGTGAACCAGCGTGAAAAAAATTAGAATTGGGTGAAATAAATGATACCAAGAACCATTAGAGAAAAATAAAAAATAGACTTAATGAAATGAAACCTCAACAGACAAACATTTAATCCAGCAGGTCAACATAATACTGCCTTTTATAGTAAGACCAGAATTGACCACACATCTAAAGCACTGGAAAAGCTCAGACCTAAAAAAGATCATCTTACACTAATAATCTTATTTCAACAATTTGGGTAAAATTCTCCATACTATGGCAGGATTGGTGTGTTTGTGTGACTAGAGTATCTCTCAGTGGCTCTTTGAGAACAATCACAGGAGTCCTGGTATGGATGTGTGTGTTAAAACAAACAGATACATTCCTGGTTTCTCTACTGCTGGATTAATCCATAAAGCCCAGGCCATGCCGCTGGACTTAACTAATCTCCTGAGCTATTTGTTTTCCTCTTCCACAATTAAACAGCTGATTGCTTTTTCATGCAAGTTCAGGGCTCAAGTGGAGCCCGTTCTGTGGCGAGTCATAGCTGGCTGTCAGAAGTTGTGGTGTCTTTTCCGTTAATGGACACCGACTGAGTGTCTCTGGGGACTATTGTGTCCTGCGATTCATTGTCACTTCGGGGGATGCTCTCAGGACGAGAGCCTGACCCTTTGCTGCCTATGGTCAGGCTCTTCTTGAAGCTCTCTGAGGTGAAGTAGTAAACCACAGGATCCAGGCAGCAGTTGAGACTGGCCAGACACAAGGTGATAGGGTAAAGTGTTCGGGCGAATCGCTCCACGCTGCAGTTAGCCAGAGCCTGGGTTCGCACTAGGGCATACAGGAAGAGCAGGAAGTTATATGGAACAAAGCAGATGATGAAAATGCTTAGATGGACGACAATCATTCGCAGGACACGTTTCTTGCTGTCACAACCATGGCCGGCACTAACTGGGCGGCGAAGTGTCCGAAGAACCAAGGAAGAACACACCAGGTTAGCCAAGAGGGGGAAAAGAAATCCCACGATCTGAGGTGAAGAGAAAGGAAATCATTAGACATGCAGTGCCTCTCAATGTACTATCTCTCTAAAATGTGCGCACATTTTGTCAGGTAAAGCAGCTATTTTTTTTTATCAGGATGATGTAAAAAACAATACAAAGTGAGTCAGAATTTTGAAATAGAAGGAAATTAGGGTTCTCTCCCAGGAGTTTCGTTTTACATAAAAATTTGAAGTGTTGCATTGACTCATATTCACTCACAGCAGAGTCTTAGGGGATTCTATCGCTCAGATGGAAAAATCAACAGTAAAAATGTGAATTTTTTTTTTTAAGATTCGGCCTGTATGTGCAAAAGGAAAAGAGAAAGAATCAAGGGTTGGCATGCAACAAATTCCCCATGGTTAAGGGCCCCAGGGATTAGACCCCATTGGTTGGTGAACAGAAATTTCATAAATATGGATCAAGACTTTGACTGAGCCATAAATCTAAATTATTCTCTTTAAATTATGTGAATGTCGCTTCGGTTGTAAGTTCAGTAACATTCTGTAGGAAAGGCAATCTCCATTAGTGTTGAATCTCTGTTTTAGTTGTTTTTGTTTTCTCCATTAAACCTGAATAGCTTCCAGTCTCTGCTCAAGCAAAGCTTTCCCTCAGCAAGATGCTTACACCACCATGTCTCATTGTGCAATCTTTAGTATAGCTATTTGCATCTAAGTCAAAAAGTTCAATGTTTTTGCTGTCTCCTCCTTTTGGCTTCGACCATACTGCTAACAAGACTTAACATTTTACTCCTGGCTGCTCTTTTGATTGTCTGCCTGCCTGACTATCAGTTTAGGTGAATAGACCTGTTTGGATAACAATTACATTAGGGCAAAAATTCAACATGCATTACCTTACTTCTGTACTCACCCAGTGACTAAGTAAACATCTCCCTGTTTTTAATCATAAGCTTTATCAAAGAGGAAAGTTTTAAGCCTAGCCTTAAAAGTAGACAGGGTGTCTGCCTCACGGACTAAAACTGGTAGTTGGTTCCACAGGAGAGGAGCTTGATAACTAAAAGATCTGCCTCCCATTCTACTTTTAGAAATTCTAGGAACCACTAGTAAACCTGCAGATTGAGAGCGAAGTGCTCTGTTAGGAACATAAGGAACAATCAGATCTCTGATATCAGATGGAGCTTGGCCATTTAAGGCTTTATATGTGAGAAGGAGGATTTTAAATTCTATTCTGGATTTAACAGGAAGCCAATGAAGAGAAGCCAGGATAGGAGAGATATGATCTCTCTTTTTAATTTTCATCAGAACTCTGGCTTCAGCATTTTGGATCAGCTGAAGGCTTTTAACTACAGTTTGTGGACTTCCTGATAGTAAAGAATTACAATAGTCCAGCCTTGAAGTAACAAATGCATGGACTAGTTTCTCAGCATCACCCCTGGACAGGAGATTGCTCATTTTTGCAATATTCCTCAGATGAAAGAGGGAAATTCTAGAAACCTCTTTGATCTAGGATTTAAATGACAGGTCCTGTTTAAAAAACAACACCAAGATGTTTTACTTTATCATCTGAAATCAGTTTAATCCCATCCAAATGAATTGACTGACTAATCAGCTTCTTTTTCAAAGACTCTGATCCAAAGACTATAACTTCTGTTTTGTCTGCATTCAGAAGGAGAAAGTTAAGAGTCATCCAGGTTTTTATGTCTTCAGACATGCCTGTTATCTATGTAATGGGTTAGCTTCATCTGGATTATAGACAGATATAGCTGGGTATCATCAGCATAACAGTGGAAATTAATCCCATGCTGTCTAATAATTCTACCGATTGGGAGCATGTATAAAGTAAAGAGAATTGGTCCTAGCACTGATCCCTGTGGTACTCCACAGGTAACCTTTGAGCGTGTTGAAGATCTAACATTAACGTGAACAAACTGAATTCGATCAGATAGATCAGATTTAAACCAGTTTAGCACTGTTCCTTTAATTCCAACAAAATATTCAAGTCTTTCTAAAAGAATATTATGATCAACTGGATCAAACGCAGCACTGAGATTCAACAGGACGAGCACAGATACAAGTCCATTATCTGAGGCCATGAGAATATCATTAGTGACTTTCACCAGAGCTGTTTCAGTGCTATGATGAGCTCTAAAGCCAGACTGAAACTCTTCAAAAAGTTAATTATGATGGAAGTGATCGCAAACTTGTTTGGCAACTACTTTCTCAAGAATTTTAGATCACAAAGGAAGATTGGATATAGGTCTATAATTGACCAAGACATCTGGGTCAAGAGACGGTTTCTTAAGCAAAGGTTTAATTCCAGCAACCTTAAAAGCCTTTGGTTCATATCCCTGTAACAGAGATAGATTAATCACATCTAAAATGGAGGAGGAGATCAAAGGGAATACCTCCTTAAATAACCTGGTTGGAACTGGATCTAACATCCAAGTTGAAGGCTTAGATGAAGACAATAGTTTTGCTAACTCTGAAAGTTCAACTGAATCAAAGCAGTCTAAACCCGGTTCAGATTCCATGACTACCCCAGATGCTGCCCCCCCTCCAGAGACAAACCAATCATAGATAGAGGAGTGCTAATGATCCTATTTTTAATAGAATCAATCTTATTTATAAAGAATCCCATAAAATCATTGCTGCTAAGAGCAGGTGGAATGGACGGTTCAACAGAGCTATGGCTCTGGGTGAGTTTGGCAACTGTATTAAAAAGATATCTAGGATTATTCTTATTCTCCTCTATTAATGAGGAGAAATATGCTGCTCTTGCTTTACAAAGGGTCCTTATACAGCAGTAAACTATTTTTCCAGACTAGGTAGGAGTCCTGTAGGCATGTAGAAGCATGTAAAGAAAAAATATATTATCTGCTTGTTTTAGAAGCATAAAAATCCTAATAAATACACCATAGTTCTAACTTAGCAAAATGTATTTTACACTTTATTGTAAAAGATGAAGCTTGGTGATGTTGCTTTAGATGTCTTAGTAGTGTGTATATTTGTCACAGAACAGTTCAGTCTACCTCAATGAAGATGGTGATTTTAGAAAGGTAGGTCTTCCAGGTGTTTTTGGAGAATCCCTCAAAGCATGTGGTGGCTCTGTGCCGGCTGTTGATGGTAGAGAAGAAAGTCACCGATATTCCTCCGCCCACTATAGTGAGCCACACAGCGGCACACACGAGCGCAGCATTCCTGCGTGTCCGGATGGAGCGTGAGCGAAATGGGTAGACAATCGCCAGGAAGCGGTCCACGCTGATGCAGGTGAGAAAGAGCATGCTGCCATAGATGTTGGTGATGAAGGCAGTGCCTGAAACCTTACAGAGACCGTCTCCGAAAGGCCAGTTGCGGTTCACATTGTAGAAGACTTTGAACGGTAGTGTAAAAACGAAAACCAAATCAGAAAATGCGAGATTAGTCATGAACATTGTGGTCTCATTGCATGTTTTCATCCGGAAGCAGAACACAAAGAGAGCTGCGCAGTTGGTTATCAGGCCCGAAACAAAGACCACGCTGTAAACTGTGGAGTATAAGTTGTACTTAAAGGAGTCATCAATCCCACAATCCTCCATTCCAGTTTCATTGATCACGAGGCTGGCCATAGTGACAGGAGAAACAGACAGGAGCTTCAATGCCACAAGAAGAGATACGAAAAATAATCTTCAGGAAAGGGGCATTCAAATCTGGAGATCTCAGGTGTCAACAGAAAAGCTTCCACTCAAGTCCCCTCCAACTCATCTTGGCACACAGAGTTAAGATTCAGTCAGGATGCACAGCTGTTCCTTGGTCCTCCTGGAGATAGAAAGAAAGGGCATGAAGATGCACAGCAATAATCGACAACTTACATTAACAATTAGTAATGTTGTTTATTCAGTACTGAAAAGTAGTGTGTGAGGTTAATCAAAGTTAATATCTGCACTTCTGGATAAAAAAATTAACATTTTTCTAAATGAATGCTCCTCTGTTCGCTTTAGGTTTTTGATCAACTATGTTTTTTTTTCCATTTCTGCTCCTGACCATGCATTTGGTCTTCATGGGTCATTTAAGTTCAGCTGATTCATTTAAATCAGTATTTTTATTAGGGTTGTCAAAAATATTGATACTGTATTCAGATATAGGGCTAAGCAACTAATTGATAAAATTGATCTATCAACTCTTTTTCCACCAATGCAATTCTTGGGGTTCCATTGCTCAATTCACTTCAGTTTATTTATGTGGTGCAAATTCACAACACCTGTCATCTCAAGGCTCTTTATAGAGAAAATTCAACCATATCAAATAAAAAGGCCTAACAGAGTTTTCTAATGATACTGCCACCTGTGGCAAAACATAGAGCTGCAGTAATCTTCTGCTTGTTCTATTTGCTCATGTCTGTACTTGACTTGACAAGGTTTTTTTTTTATTTCTAATTGTTTCCACCGTATGTGGAGTCGCCATTGGCGACTAAGCTGAGCTGGATGTTGTTGGCATTCGAGTATCGACAAAGTCCATCTTGAATATAATGCTGAGTTCACACTGCGATTTGGGGCAGCAATCTGCTGCTTCATCTTTGATGCTTGTCCACATTAAGGTCAGCCATCCAGTAAAGTGTGTTCGGATGCGTCTGATGCTTCTGCTGCTCCTGTGTTCAATGCCAGAGAACAGCTTTGCTACATTAGCTGTGATCAGTGGGTAAAAATTAGTTTGAATCTATTTTTTAAGTGAGAAAGTCCAGCTGAAAACATGGTCTGTGCAGTCAGTTCATCCAGATTACCATCCTGACTTCAAATATTATTTCTCTGTGGGAGCCGCTCAGACCCCCACATACCGGCGGTGTCTCATGCGCTTTAGAAGTTCATGAGGCACTGCTCCTGCTGCTCAAAGCATATGCTGTGTGAATGTAGCATCCATTCATCCATCCATCCATTTTCCATCACGCTTATCCCAAGCGCAGTGGCGAGGGGTACTGGTGCCTGTCTCCAGCTGTCTACGGACGAGAGGCGGGGTCCACCCTGGACAGGTCGCCAGTCCATCGCAGGGCCACACAGAGACACACAAAGACACACAACCATTCACACACTCAACTCAATTTCAGTTCAGTTTATTTATATAGCGCAAATTCACAACACATGTCATCTCAAGGCACTTTACAGTTCACAAGATCATATTGTCAAATTAATTCAAAGTTTTCTATCTAAGGCTTCCTGTGTGGATTAACTGAGTGTTGTTGCTGTCCAGACTATCTCCATTTGAAGTTCCTTTTTCTAAACCAGTTGATTGCATCGACTCATTGACTCGAATGCAGTCCCTCATACTAAACATGCTTGTGGCCACAGTGGAGAGGAAAAACTCCCTTTTAACAGGAATAAATCTCCAGCAGAACCAGGCTCAGTGTGAG